GAAACAAGCCAGACTCTCTCACCCAGACAGGGAGCCTGGACACTGCCCTGCCTCCAAGTCAGGGGCTGCCAGACCACAGAAGGGAGCACCAGGCTGCTACCCACCATCTTCCTTCTCCATACTGACTCACAGTGTGGCCTCGGGCAGATCACTTATCCTCTGGGCTACAGGCCTCAGCCCTCACTGTGGCCATTTGCACACCACCAACACACCCTCTCTTGCATTCCAGTTTCCTGTGATTGGTTATTATGGCCCTGGCATAAAAGCCATTTATACTTCAGTCATTACCAGCTCTTAGGTTAATGAACTCCAGAAGTTGTTGCCCAGTGTGCAAAGTAGGTCAGCTCTTTGTTTATCCTCACTTCTTCTAGCTCCTGGTGGGAGAGGGGACCCTGTTGTTCCCTGGATCTGTGATTGTCTGTGTTCTCTCTCAGTTTTCCACATTTTCATGTTGCTCACTCCTGCCCTTCTCCGCACAGAGGGAAGCGGCTCTCTACTGGGTGGGGCAGGAGAAGGGAAGAAGATGTGACAGGTATTGAAGCGGTGTTGTATGTGGGCACTCTGTCTTTATTGGACAGTTTAGTGACCAAGTGGCAGCTTTCGCTTCTAGGTTGTGTAACCTCGGGCACATTACTCAGCCATGCTGAGCTTTAGTGTTCTTGTCTGTTACATGGCGATAATGGAAGCTACTTCCTTGGGGAATTGTGTGCCTGTGTAGTGGTTGGCAGAGCCAGGAGACAGCCAGTGCTGGAAATGTGTCAGCTCTACTGTCTGGTGTGATCTCTACCACTGCCCTTCGAGAATGCGGCATGTCTCCATATTACAGAAGGGGAACCGAGTCTCTGAGAGTGGAGCTGTCTGCCCCTTTACACAGCCATAAAGTGGTAGGGCTGGGATCAGAAGCCAGGAATTATAGCGTGTGTGTCATTAAATAAATTCCTTAATCTCTTGGGGCCTCAATTGCTTTTGTGTAAAATGAGGAGAATCCTGCCCTGCCGCATGCGTATGTGCCTGTGTATATGGACCAGTCAGATGAGAAAGGGATGTGCAGGTGTGAGGTAAGCTGCAAATACTATTTGCTGGGCCCTTATATATTTATTCCTCAGTGAAGCCCTATAAAATGTGAGGTGTGTGTAATGGTCCCACTTAAAGATAAAGGTAAGACTTAAGGAGAGCAAGTATTTTGCCCATGGTCTCAGGTGGAGGATCTGCAATGGAAACCTAGGTTGGTAGGCTTCACTCTCCCCCACACCCCATTTGGCCTCCCCAGTGGCTGAGATGAGGAGGATCAATCCTTTTGGCCTGTGACCTTGGCTTTCTGATGGGCTGTGTTTTTCTTCCTTTGGGCTGGTTTGCAGAGTAAAGCTTGGAGAAGGGGCTTAGATTGCTTCCTTGGAACCAAGGTTTATCTTCCACCGTCAAAGGGGTCATGGGCACAGGGACCATACCTGACTGAGCCTGCCAACCAGAAGGGCTGTGGTATGCCTGGGCAGAAAGCAGACAGCTAGAAGGACCAGGGGAGCAGGAACCCCAACCTGCGGTCTCAGTAGCCTTGGGAAACAGTCTTGTCCCTCTGAGCTCCTAGAAGCCCCCAACCTCTGGGTTTGGGGAGAAGGCTAGGGAACTGAGAGCCTACAGAGCATATGGAGCCAGTGGTGTGCCACTGACACGTTGGGCCATGGCGTAGCACAGCACAGCTAAGCCTAGCTCAGCCCAAGAGCCCAACAGAATCTGGGACCAGGGGCTTCCTGGCAGCCCTCCTTTGCCTCCTCCGGGCCGCTCTCCCTCAGGAGAGGGTGGCTGGCAAATGGAACATTGCCCAGGCTTGCTGTCTCCAACGGAGGTTCTGGTTGAAAGCTGCATCCATTCATCATATCGAGCTCACGGAGCATTGCTAGATATGGGCACAGCACTCCCTGGGGCGGTCAGGAGGAGGGGGTTAGACTGTCTCTAGGGACTTGAGGCCCAGAGATAGAGCTCTACGTCCGCGTCTTTAAAACAGCCTTCTTTCCCTACAGCCTTCCTCAGGGAGTCAGAAACAGCACACGAGTCACTGTGACAGAGGGGAAGTCCTGGTTCCTGCCATTTATTAGCTTTGTGACTTTGCCCAAGTCATACAACCTCTCTGATTGGGTCAAGTTTCTCTGGGCCAAATGGAAATAGTAATTAATCTAGGAGGGATCCACCTCACTGGGCTATTAGGGGCACAAATAAAATTTCTATAGGCAGCAGTGGCTTGTAGCCCCGAATGCAATGCAGATGAAAGTAATGATGTCATGGCGAAAACCAGGCAGACATCTGAACACCTGTGAGGTGCGTGGTGCGAGTTATAGAAGTTAAGACACAGTCCTGTTAGGGAGGGATAGTGCAGAGCAAGATGAGCAAATTCCGGTAATGAGTTGCTCATTTTATTTTATTATTATTTCTTAATACTCTCCCGAGGATATTCTTCCATTGATTTTTAGAGAGTAGAAGAGAGAGGGAAAGACAGAGAGAAATATCAATGGAGAGAAACACATTGATTGGTTGGTTGCCTCCTGCACGAGCTTGGACCAGGGCCCAGGCTGGGGAGGAGCCTGCAACTGAGATACGTGCCCTTGACCGGAATCGAACCTCGGACCCTTTGGTCCGCAGGCGGATGCTCTATCCGCTGAGCCAAACCGGCTAGGGCCCCAGTTTTTAACCTGGGCTGCTAGAAACTGTTCTCATTAAGTTCTTTTGGTTGCAGACTCCTTCAGGCCACCTTAAGGTAAGAGGGGTTTTCTGAAGGGTGAGTGAGGCCCTCACACCTGAAGCATCCCCATGGACCATTTGGTCCCTTAAACTGGCCACACGGTCAGCTTCCCGGTCACTAGAAATTGGCTCATGTTCTCCTCCCACTATCGGGAGAAGCCACCTCAAGGCCTCTATCCCATCATGCTGTGTTCAGGGGCAGCCTAGCCTCAACTTCATTTCATGGCTCCTTTCTGGGCATCTTTCGAGGGTCAGTTCACAATGCAGACCACCTAGTCATATAGGGAAACTGAGGCTCAGAGAGGGCAAGGGACTTGCCTGGTGTGGAAGGGATTCCTATATCAGACAGCAGTTTGATCAGATGCCTTTTGAGGTCCTCACTGATTAGACTAAAAGATACATGACTCTTCTGACTTCCAATAAGTAGATAGCCTACAACTCTTCAGGGTACATCCTGTGCATAAAGGGAAGTCTACCTGCAGTTAGAGAGCGTGCGATGTGCTGAGTGCTGGGTACAACAGACCTGCAGTGTCTTCCTTCTCACCACCTCCAGGAGGGTTACACTCCTCTGCTGTTGGAGGAGAAGGCATTCAAATGACCACATTTTCTCAAAATTTTTTCAGTTTAAGCTTTTAAAAATCAAAACAGAATCTTCCCATTGACATGTACATTTAAAGAAGTGGTGGTTTTTTTTGTATATTCCTGAGAAAGTCTTGCCAAATCAATGGTGTAGCTGAAAATCAGTAGTGTCTTAGTATCCAGGAAATACGGTCGCTTGTTTTGTACCCGATTGAAATTCCGGTTTGCGGTCTGATGTTCGGGCTTTGAAACTGCCAAAGCTGTTATCTGTCATCAGTTACAGAAAAAAAGCACAGAACTTGAATGTGTTCCCCTGTGTGTCTGCAGTTCCCCTGTGTGTCTGCACTTGGGAAAAGTGGATATTTCTGAGGCCCTGCAATCAGAGCTTATCAACAAAGACAGACCCGAGGTGTCAAATAGGCATGTATTACGTGGGAATTCTTTGAAAACTGGTCATCTCAGATGAAAGCCTTGCCCTCTCTGAGCCTTAGTTCCCTCATTTGCTGACTGGGGGGACTTGACCAGATATGATCCACATCCGTGACTGCCAAAGCTTCTTGCTGACTGACCCAGTGTGGACACTCCCTTTCATTCAGGGAACTAGAAGGCTCCTCCTCTGACTTGTATAGTTGAGTGTTTGTAGGTGGTGAAAGGCAGGATGGCTTGTGATGCACGGTTCTTTGGTTTTCGCTTCCTCGGTGTTTGGGGGTTGCAGGACCTGATCTGAAGGCGTGGTCTCTGCTTTTCTCTTCTCAAGGAGAGAAGGGGAGTGTCCTCAGGCCTTGATTTTGCCTCTAGGCAGTGAGAGGGTCAGACGTTTAAGACCGGGATGACCAGTGTCGGTGTGCCTAGGGTGGCCGGGTTGGCCGCCGCTGTCGTCCTTCCTCGGCTGTTCGGCGCTGAGGCTATTCTCAGGCGTGTGCAGTTCCCCAGAAAACTTGCACTGAAGTAGAGGACCTGCCCTTTTGTGTCTCAGAGGCCTCGGCTGTGCCAGGGCTCCTCCCTCTGCTCTTCTAACCAGTAAAAGTCAGCAGTGCGTTTCCTTCCGGCAGAGAGAGAATCAGAATTGAGGCCTGGCCAAGCCCTGGCCTCACCATGTCCTGTTCCTGGAGCCTCCTCCCAGGCGCCTCCATGCCTTCGCCCCTCCTTTCTGGGCGGTCAGGCAGGACCGAGTGCAGGCTCTTGGCTAGGAGCTGACTTGGGTTTGAGTCTGGGTTTTTCCACTGATTTGCTGTTTCACTCTGAGCAAGACGCCCTCTCTGGATATCTTACCTCTCACTGTTGTCAAGTACTTTTTAAATTGGAAAAAAAAAAAAAAAAAAAGGAAGCACAAAAAGGAAATTTACAAGCTCCATAATCCACCACTTTAAAAAATAACTTTAATAAGAGAGAGTGTATATAGAGAGGTACACATATACATTTTGTTGTTTTACTGATATTGCTCTATAGATTAAGTAGTAAAACATATGTAAATACTCAGATTGCAAATGCTAGTCTCCTCTTTCTCATTGCCCCTCCTGGAGACTCACTCCTTAGAGGAAACCCACTCACTCGAAGTACCTTCTGGCAAAGCCAGGGATTCCTACCCCAGCCTGCCTCAGCTGCTTTGGGGCATGTCTGGCTGCATGGGGCGGATCTCCATGCTAAGGTCTTTTCCCCACTGAGCATTCAGTGCCAGTAGAAAGTTAATGCCATGAGGTCCAGGACTTTGGTCTGGTCACATGACTGCTTCCCCACAGCCTGCCCAGATGCCCTGGCCCTAGAACAATGCCCACACAGCTGTGATAGCTGCTCAGTTGGTGGATGGATGTACAAATACAGGTGGTATTTGTTGGGGCTTTGATGTGTGTGTAGGATTTTGATTGGTAGAGACAACTTGGAGAGCGTTCCAGCAAAAGGACTGGCATGAGCAAAGTTTGGAAGGTGGGAAAGGGCCAGGGTGTAATTGGGGAAACTATGAGTAACTAGTTTTGCTGGAGTGAAGAGGTGAGCATGTTATTTCTGTACTTGTTAGACTAGTTTTTTCATCCACCTCTGCGCTTTGCAAGCAGGCCCTCTGAAGAGGCTGATTTATCAAGACAGATCTAGAACAGGAATGTTTTGCTCTGGTGCACAAATGCAGGCACTCCGGCCTCTGCCTCAGAAAGACATGGTGACCCTTGGCCCCTTGACACATTGGGGGAGTAGGCACTTGAACCTGATGTCTCTCTGGACTATGCCTTTCAGGGAGGGGGCAGAGTTTCCTCCCATCTGTGTCAGGGCATTCATGAGTTAGCAGCCCCAAAGGGAATGGCGGGGATGGAGGGCAGGGGAGAAAGAGGACTGACAACTGCTGGCTAGGACCTACGCCAAGGCCTTTGCTTCTCTTGGCACCTCTGATCGGCCCTGCCCTCTGCTCCACAGGCTGGAGGAGGTCCCTCTGGAGGTGCTGAGGCAGAGGGAGTCCAAGTGGCTGGACATGCTCAACAACTGGGACAAGTGGATGGCCAAGAAGCACAAAAAGGTGAGGGGCCCAGCCCTGGGCCTTGGGCTGGGAGTTGGTAGCTGGGGGAGGAAGAGGGAGAAACTGTATTAGCTTAGAGGAGCAGGGGCTTCTCCAGGTGCCAGTTGCCTTAGGTGTGCCCCATCTAAGCTCTGCAGTGGGAACAGAAGCTGTGCGGAGGGCACGCCCAGCCTTCACTTGGTCCTCCCACGTGACTTCAGACTCATGCAGAGTTTGTCCTGGAATCAAACTTCAAAGCCACTCTCAGCTAAAAGCCCTTACAGGCAGCTTTCCTCCACCCGCTCCTGGGGGAGTCCTTACTGCTGCTTACGTCTGGGGAGGACTTTATGATGCTGATAACAGCTAACGTGTCGAGCATTGGCCGCATGCTGGACAGTTGACTTGGATAATCCTTACAACAGTCCAGTGAGGTTGGTAATAGTGATACCCCCACTTTACAGATGACCCGCAGAATTAAAATTTGAACCCCGGTATCTAATAATGTTAGTGCCTATGCTCTTTATCACCACACTAAGGGGATTTCTTCACCCTCTAGATTAATTTGATGAGTTTCCTTTTGCCTCCTGGCCAAAGCAAAAAGAAAGAAAAGTACCTCGCAGTTTAATAGTCATAAAAACGAAAATGCGAGTGGGCCTTGTCCAGTCAGGCTATCTTTAGGCACCAACTCTGTTGTCTGGTAGGAATGTCTTAGATGTGTGTGTATTGGTACTCTGGCCCCGTTAGCAGGTTCTGGTTGCTCCCTGGCCTACTGGAGGTCTGTCCAGAGCCTCACAGCTGGGGTCCCTGCATAAGCTCCTAGTGCAGAGAGCGAACCCCTGGCTCAGTGTCATCAGCTGGCACACGGGTGTGGTCTAGGCTGGCACAGCTAGCTGCAGGGCCTAGCAGAAGGGTCAGGTTCAGCTGGGGCCCAGCCCCACTGCCTTCCTCTCTTCATGCCCAGGGTTAGCTGGGTAACTTTGCCCTTACAGCCTCAGTTTCACTTGTCACGTGGGAATGACAATACTGTTGCCAGGCTCTCCTAGGAGGTGTGACTGTAAAGCCCTGTGCCCGGGGAGGTGAGGTGCAGCGAGGCCTGGGCTCTTTCCTGCTGTTCTATGTGGGCGTTGGGGCACTCATTTTTTGCTGCTTATTAGAATGTCTTTCTCTCTTTCTCTTCTCTTTTATTTATTTATTTTTGTTTAAGGCAGCTGCTCCTCAGCTGCCTCCAGTCTGACTCTGGGGTCTGTTTTCCTGCCTCCTCACCCCTCAGGCTCGTATCTGAGCTTCAGCTCCTCCACTGTCTGTTGTGGTGACTAGTGGCTCTCACCTTCTTGCCGCAGCCTCCCTTGCAAACGGGGATTCCAGAGGGGTGCCTTGGGGAGTTCCTCTCAGCAGAGCACCCAGCAGCACTTCCTCTTCCCCTTTGCTTCCCTGACACTGTGGTTAGAGGCTGAGGGCTACCCCTGCCCAGCAGGGGCCACCACAGGAGGCCTCACCCCTGCCCCTACCCAGAGGCCCTAACCTTCTGCTCTACGCCTGCCCCCTCGGCTGTGGCCACACTGGCCCTGGGAGATTTGCCTGCCTGACTGCGCAGGCTTGGGCTCTCCCTGTGGTGAAGAAGTCATGGCACAGGAAGGACGATACCTGTTTCAGGAAGTGTGTTCAGACCCAGAACTTCTCCTGGACTTATCCGGAGTCCCCAGGAGGGGGCCCAGCCCTGTGGCTAGAATGCTGTCTGCCCCGTATGGCACTGCTCGAGCAGTGAGCTCAGCAGGCAGGCAGTGGTCTCAGCTGCAGTCACAGCGGCCTCCTTTCCCCAGACGTTGCCTCCGAGAATGATAGCCCCTTATGCCTTCTGTTCACCCGAGCACTCTCTGCTGCTTTATCCTTGCTGATCCCCATCATTGCCTTCTTCCCTAAGGCAGGCACGTGGAGATCCCCTCTGTGCTGAGGAGGATTCCAGAGGCCAGAACGGGAAAGGCTAGCTGAATGCTGAATCTCGCTCCCCAGCCCTGAGCCTGAGCGAGAACCTTAGTGGACTGAAGGTGTTCCAGGGGGCTTCTGGGGCAGACCACATATGACAGGGCTGTGATGAGGCGGGGGCTGGTTTGGCTGATGACCCTGAGGGGAGCCTAAAGGCCTGTGACTCTGGGCTACACTACATCCCTTTGTCAAAACCTGCCCAGACCAAGTGGCTTCCTTAAGGAGACCCTTGTCCCACAGCAGCAGGAAACTGTTCCCAGAGTCTGGGGCAGTTCCCTTCCGCTCCCTTTCTCCCCCCACTTTGCAGGCAGTCCCAGAGCTTCAGTTTGGCTCCTGTGACCAGTGACTCTGCCTTCCCCCACTGCCCTCAGCCTCTGCCTCCTTCCTGGTTCTTGACTCTCTCTGACCCTTGGAAAGTTTTCTCTTGTTTGTGCTGGTCATCAGGAAGGCCCGGCTTTCTGTGCTCCCTCCTCTGAGGGTTTCAGTGGGATTGTTTGAGGGGGTTTCCAGGTGAGGGGAAGGTAGGTGTGATCCCAAGGCCCTGGAGCTCCTGTGTCAGGCATCCTCTTGGGATGGGAGGGGTGGAGAGGAAGCCAGCATTTACTGAAGACAGACTATTAGGCATGGTCCCTCACACCCCCATTCTTTCTTCTTTTTTTATTTTTTACGAAGAGCCAAACCCAGACTTGAACAGCCGAACCCAGTGCTGCAGGGCGGGGCCTACCCCCCAAGGGCTGAGTCTAGACCTGAAGAGCTGACCCTAGTCTTGAAGGCAGAGCCTAGCCCAGCCGTGGGCAAACTACAGCCCGCGGGCCGGATTCGGCCCGTTTGAAATGAATAAAACTAAAAAAAAAAAAGACCGTACCCTTTTATGTAATGATGTTTACTTTGAATTTATATTAGTTCACACAAACACTCCATCCATGCTTTTGTTCTGGCCCTCCGGTCCAGTTTAAGAACCCATTGTGGTCCTCGAGTCAAAAAGTTTGCCCACCCCTGGCCTAGCCCCTAAGAGACTAGCCGAGCCTCAAAGAGTCCAGCCGAGCCCTGAAGAGCCGGAGCTAGTTTCCAACGGCTGACCTTGCTTCCCAAGAGCCAAGCCTAACCCAAAAGATCCCCTCATCCCATTCTGATAGAATCCTAGGTATTGTCATTCTGATACTGCGATCAGGGAAGCTGCCTCAGAGCCTCATTCAGTCCCAAGCCCAGGGTGAGCTTGCCTCCTGCCTGGCTCTGAGAGGCCAGTGAGGTCAAAGGTGCACGGGACTGGACCCCTCTAGCCTGGGAGTGTAGCTCGGAGCTGGTGGGGTCCTCTGTGGTGTGGTCGCCTCTGACAGTATGACCTTGATATTCTTCCCACTCTTTGCCTCATTTTCCCCATTTGTGAAAGATACGATGGTTTTTCAGAATGGGTTTGGGCAGGGAGGCCTTTTTTTTTCCTGATAAAGAATAGCTAGGATATGAATTGAGCACTAGCTCTGAGTCATGTGCCACCCAAACACTTCCTCTCTCCCCTCTCCGGGCCTTGAGTGGTGGGGAGGACCTGTGCCATTTTAGCACCCAGGCTAGCTGCCTCTGACCGAGGGAGCTTGGGGCTGGGGAGAGCAGAAGAGAGGCAGGGACTCTTGACCAAAACAAAGAGGAAGCCATTGTGATCAGCTCCGATCTTCCTTCTAAGTTGTGCTGAGATCTCTCCTCTCTAGGCTGGCTGTGTCCTGCTACACAGCTACTTACACGCCCCCATGAAAGTGTCCCCACCACATTCTTGGGCATTTCATGAGCTACCCTCCATGTGACTATAGCTGTGCACCGCACTGTGCAGATCCTTCCTGGTGACGTCCTATGGGGCGCCTCCAACTTGTATTGTTCCATTTTGATTCTAAAATGGTGATAAGGATTCAGAATTTGCTGTAGCCCTCAGGAATGCCTGCACTGTCACTGGACTGGGGGATGTGAGGACTCTGCCATCACCTGGTGGCAGCACAGTTAATTGCAGCCACCCCCCTCCCCCTAATCACAGGCTCTGCATTGTAGCAATAGTAGGAAAGTCCTCGTTTCTCCCCTTGCGAATGTGCTCACGGAGGGCCTGCCATGCCCCAGCAGAGGGGCTGGGCTGGCACGAAGCCCCTGGCGGAGCTGCTGGTGGATGCATTGGCACATGCCTCTTTTTCGCTTTCAGATCCGTCTGCGGTGCCAGAAGGGCATCCCACCTTCTCTGCGGGGCCGTGCTTGGCAGTACCTGTCAGGGGGCAAGGTGAAGCTACAGCAGAACCCTGGAAAGTTTGACGTGAGTTGCCTTTCCTCCACCCTGTCCTTCCTTCCTCGTCTCTTGGCTATTCCCCACGGCAGTGATCCTCCATGCATCACCCGGACCTCAGCACTGTGAGCAATGGCTAGAACCACCCGCCAAGTACTTGACTGCCCATTCCTGCCTTTTCTCTTGACAGTCACTCAGGTTCGCTTTCTTTGGCTCAGTGGGCCACCTCCCAGCTCTTGTCTATCAGGAAGGGACACTTAGACCAGTGCCCTGACTGCTGTGGGCCCTGTGCTTAGGGCCTTTGGGCACCTCCCCAGTAGGACTACAGAACCCCGAACACTTCCTGGCCTCCCAGCTTCTACTCTTTCTCTTGTCTCCTCCAACCTCAGCCAGACATGGTTCACCTCTGTTGCTTGTGGGGTTATCAGCCTGGGGATGGCAGAGAGAAATTAATATCAGGGGTCAGAAGCCGTTTAGTGGCCAGGATAAGAACACCCCTCCATTCATGGGGCTTCTTGGGCTTGACTGGGCTGGGCAGCTCCTCCAGCCTGCTCCAAACTGTGGGAGGCAGTTGGCTTTCCTGGCGTTGCCCCAGTTTACCTACCAGAATCCCATTAGGGTTTCTCCCCGGCTCTTGGGACGGGTGACAGAAAGACCGTGAGAGAGCTGCTAACATACTTCATGCTTCAGTGAACACTGTTCCCAGGAACGGTGGGTGGGCAGAGCAGGGCAGCCTTGAGTTTCTGCTGTTTACTGGGAGAGGGTGAGAGCTGTTTGCAGGCAGAACTTGGCACTGGAGGTCAGGAAATCTGGTGGAGTGTCTGCCTGGGGGCAGCTCTGAATTAGGGCAGTTGGACTGGTTGCCAATACCTGGCCCCACTCAAGCAGCCTCTCCATTTCAGAGTCTTACTCCCAGTGTGGCTACATACCTTCAGTTTCAGGGAGCTGCATCCTGGACAGAGTGGGAGCCCCACCTAAATCTGTAGCTTACTTCTGGCCGTCAGAGGTGCAGCATGAGATCTGAGAGCTGGGGCATCCTGGCCAACCTCCTGCTAGCAGCTGTGAGTGCATCTTGTGTGAGCAGCAGAGCACAGAGCTGTGTGTGCGTTGTGTGTGTGTTGAGTGGTGTATCTGGACAGGGAAGGGCCACCCCTATGGGGTCTTCAAGATTGCTTGTGGAAGAAGGTAGATTTGCTAAGAAAGGTCTTCAAGATGTCCTGAAGCAGAGTGCTGGGTCCCTGAGGCAGTCCTAGGGGCTGGAACAGTGGCTTATGAGCACGCCTGCCTCTGTCGCAGGCTCCTGATTGTGGGAGCTCAGAGTTAGGGAGAGCAGAAGAGACAGGGATTCTTGACCAAAACAAAGAGGAAGCCATTTTGATCAGCTCCAACCTTCCTCCTCTCTCTCTCTCTCTCTCTCTCTCTCTCTCCCTCACACACACGCGTGCACATACACACACACACACACACACACACACACACACACACTCCACACCTTCCCTACAGGGAGACAGGTAGCAGAAGAGTTGGGATTGACAGCTCTGAGTCAACCTAGCTTCCAGGCCCAACGCAACTCCACCATTTTTCTAATCACAAAGCCTGGGCAAATGGCTGTTCTCTGGCCCTCATCTGTGAACAGTCTGATGCTAGGACCTTTATGGTAGCCCTCCATCTTAAGGATGTGACGTAACGTGAGTCCTGAATGAAATTCCTAGATGTTGCTTCCAGCTGCAGCTGTGATGGACATGCTTACCCACAAGGTCTTCCTGGAGCCAGAATCACCCCTCAGGTTTCCAGGTCCTTCCCCACCCTGCCTCTTTACCCCTCCCAGGCTTTTTCATTTGGTCTTCCTGACCTACCCTCAGGAAGGCCCAGTCCATGATGGGATTGGGTGGCCTTGCTCCTGGCGCAGGGCTCCTCCAATATTTAGGACAGTTGTGTCACCCTAGCCATCCTAACTCCTAATGTATCCCCTTGACCTTGCTTCCAGGAGCTGGATATGGCCCCGGGGGACTCCAAGTGGCTGGACGTGATCGAGCGTGACCTGCACCGGCAGTTCCCTTTCCACGAGATGTTTGTGTCCCGGGGCGGGCACGGGTGAGCAGGCTGGGTGTGGTGGTCTGGTAGCGGCTTTAGGCCCTGTCCCTCAGGAGCCAGAGGAGGTCAAATGAGTTTGGGGGTATTGTGGGGCCCAGGAGCTAAAACTATACTTTAGAGTTTTCCGTCTTTGGTTTGAGTCTGATGGTCCTCTTAGCATCTCTTACCTCTGGGGCAATTTTCATCATTTACTCCTCAGAGTGTTAGAACTTGCCCAGCCTGATCATCCCCTGGAAACAGGTTTCAGTGGGGAGAAAGGGTGTGAGAGACAGTGGGGTGCACAGGGGTCTGTAGGGAGAGAGGTGGCAGGCCAGGGGACCGAGACAGATCCCTGGGATAAAGGTGGGCTGGCTGAGGTGCCCCTGCTTTCTCCTTGAGGCTCTGCTCTCACCTGCCAAGTGGGGAAGCCCCTTTCTTCCTCCATCCTCTGGCCACGTGAGAGTTTGTGTGCTGCAATGGGAGACTGACCCCTTCGTGACCACAACCAGGTCACGTCCCCTCTCGAGAGAAGTACAGATTCTGAGCCAGGTCTGGTCTAGGGGGGCACAGATGAGGGCAGTGGTGGCAGAGTCACACCTGCCATCCTGCAACGCTTGGCATTTCTACAGCCAGCAGGACCTATTCCGTGTGCTGAAGGCCTACACGCTGTACCGACCTGAGGAGGGCTACTGCCAGGCCCAGGCACCCATCGCCGCTGTTCTGCTCATGCACATGCCTGCTGAGGTACCACCAGGCCCTGGGCAGGCACGCGGGCGGGCAGGGAACACCCAGCAGCAAGGCCTTATGTCTCTCTCACCCACAGCAAGCATTCTGGTGCCTGGTGCAGATCTGTGAGAAGTACCTGCCCGGCTACTACAGCGAGAAACTGGTGAGTGCTTGCTGGGCCCAGGACCTGTCTCCAAGCCTTTCTCTCCGCAGGCACTCCTGCCCCTGCTCGAAACCTTCTCAGCCTTCAGTTGCTTTCAAACTAAGTCCCTGGGTCTGCAAGGGCCAGGCCTCCCAGGCGCCAGCATCATCGGTTCCACACTTGTTTCCATCCCAGCCTTCAGCTGTCTGGCCACTGTAGACTCATGGTTCCTCCAGTGCGCCCATGTGCCTCCCTGCCTTGGCTTTGGCACAGGCTTCACCCATCCCTTTCCTTCCCTGCCTTCTTCTGACAACAACTCCTTTCTGCCCTCGGGAGCTTTCCTTGACCCTTACAAGTGGGACTGTGGCACATGCTCACCCAGGGTTCCTGTTCCTGCCATGTTCTAGGCACTCAGTCCCCCTCCCACTCCCCTCGTCTGTTTGCTCCTGTGACTCATGTCTTCACTACATGCTCACAGGGGGACTGGCTGTCTGTTGGCTCATCATTGTATCCCAGAATCCAGCATGAGGCTGGCTCCCTGTAGGAGTAGCCACCTGAGGAATGAATGAATGCTTGCCTGGTGCTGGGGCCTGGGTGTAGTCCCTGCCATGGCTGATGCTGGTCCATGGTCATGGTCTCGCTGTTCCCCCAGGAGGCAATCCAGCTGGATGGGGAGATCCTCTTCTCTCTGCTGCAGAAGGTGTCACCTGTGGCCCACAAGCACCTCAGCCGGCAGAAGATCGACCCACTGCTCTACATGACAGAGTGGTTCATGTGTGCCTTCGCCCGCACCCTGCCCTGGAGCTCTGTGCTGCGCGTCTGGGACATGTTTTTCTGCGAAGGTACCAGATTGAGCTCTGGGGAGCACTCCTGCCCCCAGCCCAGCCCACAGGGGATCTCTATTTTCAGAAACTCCCTAAAGGCCCTCTTGCACTCACTGCCTGCTCCCCCTTACAGGAGTCAAGATCATCTTCCGGGTGGGCCTGGTGCTGCTGAAGCATGCGCTGGGATCCCCGGAGAAGCTCAAGGCCTGCCAGGGCCAGTACGAGACTATCGAGCGGCTGCGCAGCCTCAGCCCCAAGATCATGCAGGAGGCCTTTCTGGTCCAGGAGGTGCGGGCCACACCTTCCCCTCACCGCTTGGAGGGGGAACCGTGCGGGCCCTCTGCCCCTGAGGGTGGGTCATTGGTACCAAGCTCGGTGCCCAGCAGTCCAGCATGGTGTGGTAGAGCTCATCCTTCTATCTGAGTGAGAAGAGGGGCGCAGCGAGGCCTCAGTCTGGGGGCCTTCCCGTTCTGGACCTCTTGGGAATGAGAAGAGCTGCAACCCCTCACCTCTCTTCCTCTGGTACCACATCCACGACTTGGCTTTAATTTCCCTTTTTTCTTTCTTTTGTGGATTTTTCTCTCTCAGGGGCTGTAATTAGCTGACACATAATTAGGCGAGTGGAGTCATGAGTTGTGGGCAGCGGGTCTCAAGTGCCTGGCTCACCACCACTAGGGGACTTGTGACCACCACAGGGGCCAGACCTTCACTCTTCCTGTGGTCAGCCTGTAGTGACCAGACTGGGGGACTCCAAGGCAGAGCCGGGACCCAGGCTGGAAGGCCGAGGGGAAGGTTCTTCCTGGTGCCCACCTGCCTGTCACTGCTCCCACAGGTGATCGAGTTGCCAGTGACAGAGCGCCAGATTGAGCGTGAGCACCTCATCCAACTACGGCGCTGGCAGGAGACCCGCGGTGAATTGCAGTGCTGCTCGCCACCCAGGCTGCATGGTGCCAAGGCCATCCTGGAGGCAGAACCAGGCCCCCGGCCCACCCTGCAACCATCACCGTCCATCCGTCTGCCCCCAGATGCCCCGCTTCCTGGCTCCAAAAGCAAGCCCAAGCCACCCAAGCAGATTCCGAAGGAGCCGCAGAAGCAGGAGAAGGCGAGTGGGCAGCTGGACAAGACCCCAACGCCAGGTCAAGCCAAGATGGCGATCGCTGGCGGAGATGCATGTCCTCCACAGGATGTGCCCCCGAAGGACCCAGTCCCCCAGGACCCATCCCCTCAGGACTCAGCTCCCCAGGTTTCAGCTCACCACTGCTCCCAGGAGAGCCTGGTGTCCCAGGAGAGTGAGGACACCTACTTGTAACCCTGGCATCTCAGGCCTCCAGGGCGGGGTCTCCACACACCTACATGGTTCGCGGACTGACACACTCCAGGGCCTGCCCACCCTCTGAGGGTCTGGCTGCCTGGCTACTGGGTGCAGAGAGTCTGGCTGGCCCAGCACAGGTTCTGCCCAAGCCTCCTTATTTATTTTCTCCAGAGTGGAGCTCGGGCCGATCCAACTGGGGCAGGCAGAAGTGAGGGCCTCACTCAGGCCTCTCCTTCTGGGGGGATGCTCCCCAGGGCTAGGGCACTGATGAGGGGAGAGAGTGGGGTACAGGGTAGGGTACTCTTTGTGTAAAATAGAAACATGGTTTTGTACAGAAATAAACAGGTTTGTATAGAGAGCTGGTGTGCAGCTAAGGGCTGGGCAAGGGGGTGCCACCACCCCTGGTGCTCAGCATCTCTTCCACTTCCTACAGAGTCCACATCTTGGCCTCAGCCAAGCACCAGAGTCTCTCGGAGAAGTACCTTGCGAGAGGGAATGCCAAGACCAGGGCCAGCCCCTGTTCTGGGTCCCCATTTCTCTTACTCCATCCCTCAGCCCCTTGTCCACCATCTACCATGGGTGAGAGTCACCAGGGCTGGAGCCCAGTGCTAGGGCAGAGCGGGCATACTCCCCAGGTCTTGATTCCTGCTCATCACTGATGGGGTGGAGTTCCTAAGATCCTTTTAGGGTGTTCTCCTTAAGGCCTGGCCTGGATGCTACTTTTGGACCTCAATAAGGTTCTTTTTTTTATTGATTTGGGAGAGAGAGAAGTATTTTGTTGTTCCACTTATTTATGCATTAATTGGTTGATTGTTGTATGTGCCCAACTGGGGATGGAAACCACAACCTTGGTGTATTGGCGACACTCTATCCAACCGAGAAAGGTTGAGTGTTCATTCTGGGTTGGCTGCTGGCACCATAGGTGGGAGACCATGAATGCCCTTACATTACCACCCAGGTTTCCATTGATAGGAGGGGGGAAGGCTGGGTCTTTGATAACAGGCCACCTGTCGCTTACTGAGCACTTAGCATGGTCCACGCTGGGTTGGTTGCGTCACCAGCTGATCGTCAGGTAGCTCTATTATCTCCATTTGACAGATGAGGCAACAGAGCTGAGTGAGAGGTAAGCTGGTCCCAGTTTGCACCCAGAGCCCCTCAGCTACCTCTCCTGGCCAGGGTGCCAGAGGACCTGACTGCCACTGAGGGCCCAGGCAGGCTCTATGGTCACAACCTGATGACTGTTGAGGTTACGGACAGGGTGTCCCTGGGAGAGGCCCCCCTTCTGCTGAGGAAGCAGCTTTTCCAGTCAAACAATAGCGGTTGTTCTTGGCAGGCCACCAGGCCAGGCTGGGCTATGGAGGGAGGGGGCGCGAGAGGGAGGAGTAGAGCCTCCCTCGGAGCTTTCAGGCACCTCGGGGCTTTAGTCTGGAACATCTTGTTCTGGTACAGCTGGGTATACTGAGGCCTGGGGAGGTCAAGGGTCACTTGAGCCTGTCAGGGCAGGCCATCACACCTGTGGTTTTCCCACCCGCTCTGCACCATTGGTGAGAAGAGGGGATCAGCCTTTGAGGACAGTCCCCTCCCCCTGACCCTCTAGGGGACAGGCCAGGATGTGGTGGCTGCACAGTGTTCCACAGGAACCCACTGAGCCAGAGAGTCCAGGGAGGGGAGGCACTGCGCCACTTCCATCCGCCTACAGTGGAGGCTCCCAAGCAGGCAAGAGGCCTGTGTAGGCCTGCTGGGTCCCAGTCAGGCCTGAGGCCTGCTTTAACCTGCTTGGTTCAAAGCCTCAGATCTGAGGCCTGAAGATGCTTGAGCCAGACAAGGGCCCCCCAGAGCATGCTTAGTCCTGCTACTGAGCCAGCCTGGGTGGGCTGATGCCTGCTCAGCCTTGGGGTCTTCTTAGACCCGGGGAGGCCTAAGCAGAACCCAGTCCTAATGTCAAAATGAGCCCAAGTGGGTCCTAACAAGCCTCAGATCTGGGGCATCTGCCAGTGCTGGGGCCTCCTTGGGCACAAAGCAAGTTTAGATATGCTCAGGCTGGGGGGTTTCGTCTAATGGCTGCTGGCTTAGGGAGGCTCAGCAAGGCTCAAGCCTCAGGTCTGAGAACACTACCCAGGGAGCCCCAGATGCCTGGGCCCGTCCTCGGAAGTCTGAGCCTTGGGCATTACTGGCCTCGGTCTTGAGGGGCCTCCTTACCCCTGGCTGCCTTCAGCACCCTACCCAGCAGTAGGACAGAGGTGGGTGGGGCCCTTACTATCTCTGCGACCCTGGTGGGGAGACGGACCCCACGACAGGAAGGAGGAAGAAAGGTGCCAGGATACTTTGTTGGGAGAGAATCGTAGGGTTCCTGGGGCTGCAGAGTGGACCCCTACCCCTCCACGCTTCAGGGTTCTGGAGGCAGCGCCTCAATGACCTCAATCATAAGACCCGCATGAGGGCCTGAAGGACAGAAAGGACCCCACGTTTCCTGCAAGCTTCGCAACCAGGATCCACCCGCGTCTTGCAGAAAGGGTGGAGCTCCGAGAAGAGGCGCGGCCTGGGCGGGGTCTGAAGGACGACGGGGCGGGGTCAGATGGCGATCCCTAAGCCAATGTTAACGGGGTGGGGGCGGGGCTCTGTTGGTAGAAGGGGGCGTGGCCTCCTCTGATAGGCCGCGCTCCTCGCAGGGCGTAGCCGGCGCGGCGCGGGGAGGGGCGGGTCCCAGGCCTGGTGGC